GCGTGTGTTGACATATGGCAAATAGGACACAAGAGTTCCTCTCAGTCAACCTAACCAGTCTGACTGAAATTGTAAAACAGGGGCTTTTCTTTCTATCTTCCGTGAGTGTGTGTGAATCTCTGTGTGTGTATGTACAGTATATGTGGATCTGTGTGTGTGTTTAACTCACCTCTCTGGTCATTGATAAACTCCTCCTTGCAGTTCTGCATGAGTCCGAGGATCCACTTGTGCTGGGCGGATATACACTGCCAGGCAGGGTCCCCTGATGCATGCAGGTCAGACAGGTACCTGGAAGGAACAAACACAGGTAACAATGAAAATGTGGCCACAGCACTTCACAGGTGATGCTGAAATGGGTGTAAACAACACTTCAATATGACACTCGTTAAGTCTAAACCCAGTGCCCTCCATCTCCTTCAGCCTTTGCCATTTCATTGCCTGGAATACCAGATGGGCGGGGTCTGCACTTTGGTTAAATTTGACCAGGTAAGTTCAATCAAGCGCAGTATTTAAAAGAACATCAATTGAACCCTTTTACTGTGATATGTGGTTAGTCTCTGTAGACATTGTACCAATGCTCCAGCTTAACACGTCTGTAGAAGTTCTGGAGTCAGTTGGGACAGAGAGGACGAGTCAGAAATTGGAAGTGTCACCGGTAACGCCACTGCTAAATTACTAAATGTAAATGTAATGTAAACCCAGGTTGTACACCCCAACCACAGCCTGCTAGTCCCCTTAATGTGTGTAAGGTAAACTGGGGGTATGGCATGGCATGGTATGGTGGGCGTTTAAAGCTAGCTAGCTATACTGTAATGTAGGAGGATGAAAGATGGCTGCTGTGGTCTAGAGCTGCTCTCTCTCATTCTGACGAGTCAGTCTGAGCAATAATAAACCAGCCTAGACCACAGCTATGCAGGATGAAGGGAGAAGGGGAGAAGGAGGGAGAGAATGAGAACAAGGGGAAACGAGGGACAAGGATAGAGAGAGACAGATATTTAAGGAGAGACCGGGAATTGAGCGAGAAAGAGAAAGAAAGTGAGAGAGAGGAGGAAGAACAAGACATGAAGAAAGATTTATTTTAAAAGTCCATATTCAGCCAAATGACCGCGGTCACCGTTGTAGAGTTATGGAGGAAGACCATCATGAAAATAAAATAACCGTCATAACCGTAAAAAAAATATAAATAAAATGAAGACTGGTTTGCTACAACCCCTTGCTGAAACAATAAGCAACATTGTTTCATTGCATTGTAAAGAGTCCATGTTACCACGGAGCACGTCGGCTGCAGCCGTGTTTGTTCCACAACACAAGATTCTAAAACTGTCTAGAGAGGAGCCAGTTTTAAGAGTTTTGTGTTGTGGAACAAACAGCTGACTGAAGATGGCTGCAGCTGACGTGCGGTTGAGTCCGTATCCGTGGTAACATGGTCGGTTACACGAGTATAAAATGAACGTGCCAGCCCTAAAGATGAGCCAAACAATGAGCCAGAGACAGAAAGTAAGAAGAGAGAACAGAAAGAATAGGGGAAATGTAACACACTAAAACCATAAAGACACTACTAATTTTGCACTGCATGACATCTACCCTCTACAGTACAGTATGTGTATACATAATGAGACCTTATGTATCTCTTCTGGTCATGCAGGGTTGAAGGTGTCTCCAGTAGCTTGTCCAGGAGCAGACTCCTTAGAGCCCCGATCCTCGTCTCCACCTCGGCATACACTACACAGACAGGAGAGACAGGAGAGAATCAAGTCATTACTCTGTTTACAGTACAGTACAGTAAACTGGACATCACCCCTTCAAAATAGTTCAGTTCACCCTACCTTTTTTAAAGACCGAGACCTCCGTGTTGCTGAACAGAGACTTGGCTTTCTCATAGTCGTTGATCACCACATCATAATCTCCCTGAGAGAGAACACATACAACTCTCAGACCGCTCACAGACCGCTCTCACAGTCAACAATATTACAAAGGTTCATAAAAAGAAAATGGACAGTGGTTTATTTAATATGTGGAGACACTGATGTGTCCAGTGCAGGGGACATGAACACGACACTTTGACATTCTAGCTTCTCTAGCACCACCTTCTGGAGGCTGGACTTGAGTTTGAGCAACAGGTTGAGGTGTGCATTCTGTGTGTGTGTTGTATAACATAGGGTCACTTGTTAAATCCACTTCAAATCAGTGTAGATGAAGGGAAGGAGACAGGTTAAAGAAGGATTTTTAAGCCTTGAGACAATTGAGACATGGATTGTGTATGTGTGCCAATCAGAGGGTGAACAAAAGATTTAAGTGCCTTTGAATGTGGTATGGTAGTAGGTGCCAAGCGCACCGGTTTGAGTGTGTCAAGAACTGCAACGCTGTGGGTTTTTTCACTCTCAACAGTTTGCCGTGTGTATCAAGAATGGTCCACCACCCAAAGGACATCCAGCCAACTTGACAAAACAGTGGGAAGCATTGGAGTGAACATGGGCCAGCATCCCTGTGGAACGCTTTCGACACCTTGCATAGTCCATGCCCTGACGAATTGAAGCTGTTCTGAGAGCAAAAGGCAGGGGGGTGCAACTGAATATCAGGAAAGTGTTCTTAATGTTTTGTACACTCAGTGTATACCTTCTGTATGTTGCGTTCGATGTTGAGCGGCAGGTTGAAGAGGAACTTGAAGCGCTGAAGGACGTTGAGGGCGTTCCGCGTCGAGTCAGCTTTATCCTTCCGCCCCAACACCTCCTGGAAGAGAGTGTCTGCTGTATCACTGGCTCCTGGGGGGAGGGAGTGGGGGGAGGGGAATAAAGGGAGAAGAGAGAAAGAAGAGGGGAGAAGGGAGAGAGAGAGAGAGAGAGAGAGAGCGAAAGAGCGAGCGTGAGAGATAGAGAGAGGGCGAGTACGACAGACATCAAGAAAAAGTTAAAAGGATCAATATTTTTATTTCACTATTAATAAATAGCATCTGTCAGACATTAAGAACCTGGTTTTCCTCTGTGCTGATGGCCTGTGTGCGCTATATTGTCTGAACTAGGAAGAGGGGTTGAGAAAGAGTCACGAAGGAGTGTGACAGCTATCTCTTACTGTCTCCTTTTCTCTCTGGGCCATTCGTACTCTCCGGCTTCTTGGGTGGCCTCGGATGTGGTGGTGAAAAAAGAACAAACAAGGACTCGCTACAATTCTTTTAAGCAAAAGAAAGACTCCCCACGTGCTCCCGCCAACCCCACCAAATCTCGAAAGGAAAAACATTGAGACAGCGAAGAGCTACATATTTCCTATTTTCGCTCTGACTGACGAGATGTCCTGTGTTTGATATTTCGAGGTGCTGTTAGTGATTAGCTGATGGGTGGCGGGGAGGTTAGGGGGGTGTATGGGACGAAGACAGGGGTCCTGGGTCGAGGAGGAGTGCGGTGGCTGGGGAGGCAGAGGTCGGGGTAGGGTGTGTAGGCCCACCGGTGGGGAAGTGTGTGGTGTCTGGGGGGAGGCGAGTGGTGGCTGGGTTGCTCTCAGGCTGAAGGCCCACATGTAGGTAGTTATGGAGGTGTGTGGTGGCTATGTGGCTGCGCTCTCGGCTGTGGGCCCACATGTGGCATTGTGGGGATGAAAGCAGCGTCTGGCTGGGAGGTTTATTTACCTTCAACCCTGAGGAAAGGACCTTTCTGTTTATTGACCCTCCATGATAGGAGACACATTATCATGTATGATATGAGAGGGGCGGACAGAGGATCCGGCTGGAAGATCCACTCTCCAGACAGGGAAGAACAAACACACACGGCGTGGTGTGTGTATGAGAGAGAGAGTGTGTGAGCTAATTGAACTTCCTATAAAGATAGATGTGGAGGGAGGATATTAACCAATGGCAGCTGGGATGATGTCTGCACTCAGCTCACACTACATGATAATAGTGATTTGACTTGACCTAATGTTTTCACTGTAAGTCTCAATTGTGTAAGAAGTAGAAAAAAGTAGAAAGATAGATGCAGATCAATGATGGATTGGTAGATGGATGGGTGGATGGATGATCAGATAGATTCATAGATGGATAGAAGGATGGATGGAAAGATGGATGAATGAACAGATAGATGTATAGATGGATGAAAGATGCTTACTGTTGAGAACATTCTGCAGGCGTTGCGTCATGGAGCCCTCCACCCTCTCTGTCCCATCCGACTCCAGCCTCTGGTGTATAACTGCAACAGAACAATCAAGTTTTATTCGATTCTGTTAAAGATTGGGATGGATTAGGGCTCAGTTCAATCAATGTACGCAGGCCCTCTTAGAAATCTCGTAAATCTCTTTGTTTATAAAGCCCTCCAGCATTAACTTCCACCGTACCTTACTTCATTGTTAACTTATAGACGTAGGAGATAACAGACCCGGTCTCAGGGATGGTTAACTCTGGAGATCTCTGAGTTAGGTAAATTAGCTTTTCGTTTTTTTACATCTTACTTGTGGAATAGGGGCGGGCAGGTAGCCTAGCGTTTAAGAGCGTTGGGCCAGACACATACACACACACACCGAGACCGAGTGCACACTGCACAGAGCGTGTTGTGTGTTTAAAAGGGTCTGCGTGATGAAGAAACGGAGGTGCGATTAACGGCTTAAAAATGTTTTACGGCATAAAAAATGTTATGTATTGACGCATTAACTTTAACAGCCCTAGTATTGATGTTTATGCAAGGCTCATCTGAGAAAGAGACCTTGGTATCAGCATGACGAAATAAAGGTTAAATTAAAAAGACATTTAAAAAATGAACACAGTGAAAAATATCTGAATTAAAGAGGCACACAATCGGGGATAGAGAAAGATACGCAACAAGAAAGATACAGAAATACAGAGAAAGAGAAATAGTTATTTTAAGGTCTCTGTGTGTTTTATAATAACACTCAGACAGAGCGCCTCTGCTGCTCAATCTAACATGCTTAATTCTGAGATTCTGGAACATTTTCAATTTAAGGAACCGAAGGTAAAACATTAAAAAGCCTCTCTGCCCCAGTGGTAGATGAGAGATAACCTACGTGACCCTCCGTCTACAGACACTTCTGTTGGACTCTGACCACGCCTCCCTCTCAACCTTTCCCACGCCAACCACTGACCTGACCCGGTCACCACAGTAACTGTACCGCATCAATACACCTGACCTGGCTTGACCGAATCAGCAGTACCACCCAAAATCCACTCCAAATCAGTATTTTCCCTACTATCAAAGTTGTTTTGGGGGCCTTTGTACCCCGACTGGAAAATAATCTATTCTAGGGGAAAGACGGTTCCAAATGGAGCATAGACAGTAGACACTCTGCACCCAAAGACCGAGAGTCCGGAGGAAATTTGCAAATCCAAATGTTTTATCAGTTGGAGGAATAATATTTGGGTGAGGATAGCTGAAAGACTGGAGAACAGTATTTCTACTGCTGAGAGGGATGCTGCTAGTGTCAGGTTGACTATACAAGACTAATAAATAAATAAAGATCTGTAGGGTGCATATTCCAATATCAACACTGAGTAGGCCATACTGTTGGTGAGGTTAGGCAAGGAGAAGTTGATGAAAGGCATAGGATGTAAAAGGTGAGAAGATTTGAGGAAAAGGAGATAGATGAGAGGAGGTCAGAATAGATCTGAACATGTGGACCAGAAAGAGATTCATGTGAGAGAGGGAGAGAGTAGGGTAGGCAGAGAGAGAGAGAGAGAGAGAGAGAGAGAGAGAGAGAGAGAGAGAGAGAGAGAGAGAGAGAGAGAGAGAGAGAGAGAGAGCGTGTCAGGGCTGCTCACATGAACAAATAAATTGTGGCTGTAGTTAGGCAGCTGGGTGCTGAGAGGGGCAGTGTGGCTTTATTGACAGAACAGAGGGGGAGAGAGGGAAAGAGGGAGAGAGGACGGAGAGGGGGAGAGAGGAGTGAGGGCAAAAGGGGGAGGGCAAGGGGACGAGATGAGAGAAACTGACAAGGGAAAGAGAAAAAAGAGGGAAGAAGTAGGGAAGGAAAGAGGGAAGAAGGAGGGAAGGAAAGAGTTCTGTAAATAAATGTGGGTATGTTCCTTCTGACAGATGGGAGCCTGGAGGCAGAGGCATTCCTGAACCTCACTTACAGTGCATTCGGAAAGTTTTCAGACCCCTTGACTTTTTCCACATTTTGTTAGGTTACAGTCTTATTCTACAATTGATTAGAATACCCCATAATGACAAAGTGAAAACAGGTTTTTAGAAATTTTAGCAAATGTATTACAAATAAAAAACAGAAATACCTTATTTACATAAGTATTCAGACCCTTTGCTATGAGACTCGAAATTGAGATCAGGTGCATCCTGTTTCCATTGATCATCCTTGAGATGTTTCTACAACTTGATTGGAGTCCACCTGTGGTAAATTCAATTGATTGGACATTATTTGGAAAGGCACACACCTGTCTATATAAGGTCCCACAGTTGACAGTGCATGTCAGAGCAAAAACCAAGCCATGAGGTCGAAGGAATTGTCTGTAGAGCTCTGAGAGAGGATTGTGTCGAGGCACAGATCTGGGGAAGGGTACCAAAACATTTCTGCAGCATTGAAGGTCCCCAAGAACACAGTGGCCTCCATCATTCTTAAATGGGAGAAGTTTGGAACCACCAAGACTTTGCTTAGAGCTGGCCTCCCGGCCAAACTGAGCAATCGGGGGAGAAGGGCCTTGGTCAGGGAGGTGACCAAGAACCGATGGTCACTCTGACAGAGTTCCAGAGTTCCTCCGTGGAGAGGGAGAACTTTCCAGAAGGACAACCATCTCTGCACCACTCCACCAATCAGGCCTTTATGGTAGAGTGGCCAGACGGAAGCCACTCCTCAGTAAAAGGCACATGACAGCCCGCTTGGAGTTTGCCAAAAGGCACCTAAAGACTCTCAGATCATGAGAAACAAGATTCTCTGGTCTGATTAAACTAAGATTGAACTCTTTAGCCTGAATGCCAAGCATCACGTCTGGAGGAAACCTGGCACCATCCCTACGGTGAAGCATGCTGGTGGCAGCATCATGCTGTGGGGATATTTTTCAGTGGCAGGGACTGGGAGGCTAGTCGGGATCGAGGGAAAGATGAATGGAGCAAAGTACAGAGAGATCCTTGATGAAAACCTGCTCCAGAGCGCTCAAGACCTCAGAATGGGGCGAAGGTTCACCTTCCAACAGGACAATGACCCTAAGCACACAGCCAAGACAAAGCAGTAGTGGCTCCGGAAAACAAGTCTCTGAATGTCCTTGAGTGGCCCAGCCAGAGCCCAGACTTGAACCCGATTGAACATCTCTGGAGAGACCTGAAAATAGCTATGCAGCAATGCTCCCCATAATATAATTTATGCCATTAGACGTTTTATCCAAGGGTACAGAGCTTGAGATTTTGGTATGGTGGTCCGGGATGAACCAACTACCTGGGTACAGCGCCGTGCCACAATTGAGCTACGAGGACCACCTGGCACAAGACAGAGCTGAGAGGATCGCAGAAAGAAAGAGAACTCCCCATACAGATGTGCCAAGCTTGTAGCGTCATACCAAGAAGACCTGAGGCTGTAATCGCTGCCAAAGGCGCTTCAACAAAGTACTGAGTAAAGGGTCTGAATACTAATATTTTATTTTTAATTTTTTATACATTTCAAAAATGTGAAAAAAAACCTGTTTTTGCTTTGTCATTATGGGCTATTGTGTATAGATTGATGAGGTGGGGTGGGAAACATTTTAATCAATTTTAGAATAAGGCTGTAACGTAACAAAATGTGGAAAAGGTCAAGGGGCCTGAATACTTTCCAAATGCACTGTATCAAACATGCCATCATATCATGGCTCCCTAATCGGCACAGCCATCACTGGACCACCACAGCAAGCAGAATGGCTTGAACACCAGCCCTATGGTCTGGTAGAAGACATTCAGAGAACCAGGGCAGGAACCAGAGGTTTTATGGAAGAAGAATGCCATCTGCTTCTGCTCTGAAAGGATAGAGTAGACTAGAGAGAAGTCTACAATAAGTCTGTGTATGGTCTAAACAACACAGTTATAAAGGATTGGTCTGATTCTGCAGACATATCTGGTGTGTGAGCACGCACATGCATTGCACACACACAGCCTGAAGGTTCTGGTTCTTCTCTCCGCAGAGACCCCTGTGCCCCCTTGCCAGCTGTGTGTCCTCTCCGTCTGTCACACACTCTCGCTGCCGTGGCCATGACGTCATGGCTAACCTAAACACCCCGTCAGGCTCCGGATAAAACAAACACATGCACGCACACGCACACGCACACACACACACACACACACACACACACACACACAGAGAGGAGTGGAGGAAGAGACGCAGGCAGCCCCACTCAGCTTCCTGGAACCCATTGATTCTAAAGCTGGAGATGTTTTGACTCCTAACTGCTGTAGCGGAGTCGGAGGTTTGGAGCATTGGGAATACGGCCCTGGGAAATCTTGGATTTTGGAACACGGTAGCGGTGGTCTGTTTCCTGTATTGCAGGGCCACTTCCTTTTCACACAACAATAAAAAATAATAAAACGAATGTATACATTTTTCAGTCTGTCTGCCTGTCAGTCTGTTAGCCAGTTAGTCAGTCTGCCAGGTCTCAGATAACAACTGTGAAACATGGTTCAATTTGTCAGTGGATCAGCCTACCCAAACAGCCCCCTAGTATGAGTATGAACCCCCATGCCTTTCACCAACCTGTCTGCTCTGGGTCACAAAGAGTTTAGAGAACTGTTCCTCCAGTTCCTGTTTTACCCAGCTCCTGGCCCACTGGATGGGTGACCCCAGACATCAAGGTAATTTGACCTCTGCGACCTCATGTAACCCTTGAATGCAGACATGTACCCTCCAGGTACAAGTGTCAGTCTAACAGTGAAGGGGAGCAGTGTAATAAGGGTGTTATGAGGTTGTTATAAGGGTGTAATATGGAGAGAGCTCATCACTGTCCACAACGCTTGAGGGACTGAGTTTAACATTTGGCCTAGCAACGGCACTAACCAAACTAGCCATAAATGTGCTTTGGGATGAGGGTGGGGTTAGCCATTTAGCGGCTGGTGCTAAACTGTGTTTAAGCCCAGCAGGGAAACACAAAGGACATTATTACTGAGAGACATCAGTGGTCCATACAGACACACAAATGCACGAAGGCGCACACATGCGCACACACACACGTCTCTGTTTCTGTTGGAGGAGATGAATGAGGAGAGAGTGAGGACCGGAGAGGGCGAGACAAAAGAGAGAAAGCCAAGAGAGAGAGAAAAACAACAGGAGAGAGAACAGGAGAAAGAGAAGAACCCCATGGATTCTCAAAACACACCACTTGTTTTGACAATTTTTTGGTTGAACAGAACTCATTTAATTTTCCAGATTTGGCCCATGCAGAGACATGCCTTCCTTATTTCCACACTGCGATCCCCACTCCCCTGCTCTCTCTTATTAATAAAACATCAGGCTTTTACGATAGCCATCAATAGAATTCTCACCTGCAGGCAGAAGAGAAAATAAACTGAGTAGACAAACGATGAAGGCGTTACATGGTGATTGAGTGAGCTGGAAGCACCACAGGCTAAACAGCAATTAGTACCATGGCACTTTTAATGCAATACATTCCGACCACACACGCACACACGCACACACGCACTTCGTTATTAATTTCCTTTCAATTTGTACAGCAACACCTGAGGTGTAGCTAATTTGGAATGACTCCAACTGAGACGACCTTCCAAACAGAGCGAGAGAGAGACAAATAAAGGATTCACAGTTTCACAGACAGCTGTGCTAACTGGGCCTGTCAATGAGCGACTGCTGGAGCCGCCTAGAGCCGTCTGGCTCAGAACAAGATGGCTGGCACCCTGGCACGTTACTAAAGCTTAACCTTACCATGTGCTGGGCTAGCACTCAGACATTCTTTATAACCAAGCAAAACAGGGCCTCTGAGAAGCATCATTCTAAAAATAGACATAATCAGAGGACTAAATACTGTAATGAGTCAGATTATACTCTCAAACCTGTACAGTGAAGTACATCCTAATGTCAAAGGTCAATTGACTTTTCATCTTATGGTCCATTGCTTCCTGACTCACAGGTCATTTGAGTCCATCTACCAGCTCTACTTCTTGGGTCACTGGGGACTTGTGCTTCCCATTGGGTGCATATTGGGCACCCTTAGTTTGGTGAACGTGAGAAAAGGTCTGTATTGTTCCCCTCGGTCATATTAGGGTCGCTATCATCCCTGTACTCTGGCCTGCATTGTGTGGCCCTGCTCCGTTCATTTACATTCAGTTGCTAACAATGAAAACATTGCCTCGGACCCCCCGCTCCTGCCGGGCACACACATTACATTAGGAAAGCAATAATAATAATCACAGAGGCATATAAATAGTACGGGGAAGTAACTGAGTGGTTATGAGGGGAAATAAGAGTAAACAGACAAAAATATGAATGATACAGTTGAACAATTGATTTGACTGAACTACCTGGCAGAGCGACAGCAGTCACAATGTTACCTCCGAGTTTTCAGAGAGTGGATCATAAAGGCCATGGGAGACGGTGTGTGTGTGTGGGGGGGATCAGTATACGTGTGCATCAGTATACGTGTGCAGGATGTCTGTCCAGTATGTGCACGTTCTGTACGTGTCTGTGTATTTGTGTATATAGTGAGAGGCAAATGTAAGTGTGTATGTATAATAACAATTATAATTATAATTTGTAACGCATCAGCACACTCCACTCTAAGGCTCTATAAGGACACAGCAGAGCAGCAGTACAGATTGCCTCATGGCCCTGCCTGTGCCTGCTACCGTGCAAGTAGTGTGAATGACAGTCGAGAGCTGACGTAGTTTTAATGAAAGTGAATTCGGTGTGTTGTGGTTGGCTAGCCACTCTCTGTGTAGTATTGGTGTACTGTGTACCACACACTCTCTGTGTAGTATTGGGGTACTGTGTACCACACACTCTCTGTGTAGTATTGGTGTACTGTGTACAGTATCTTACCTGCGAGAGCGTCCTGAGCCTCGAAGAAGGTGCTGAGGCCTCCCTTCACATAGGCCAGACTGCCCTCATTCTTCTTAGTGGCCTGCTTCTTCAGGTTACTGGCTGCTATACGCAACTGGTCAAAACTGAGAGGGGGGCGAGAGATAGAGAGAGAGGGGAGGGGGTCCCATCAGTCAGAGGAGTTGTGTGTGCGTATGCTTTTGTGTGTGTAACAGAGGGCATTAACGCCATGCATGAGTGAGTGTGAGTTTGAGTGTCCGCAGGAGGGTGTGTGTGTGTCCTCTGGGAGTGAATGGAGGTTTCCTCTGGAGGAAGAAACACAGGCCCTGTCAATCAAAAACAACCCAACACAGTGGACTCTGCAGTCCTGCAGTAGCTAGCCAGGACTAGGCAGGATCCAACCGTTAGACTGGGGTTAGTTGGAGGGGAACCATGACAGATGACGGAGAGGAAACCAGGAGAGACTAATAATAACCTGACAGACAGGCTGATAAACACTGTCCTAGTATGACAAAGACAAGGGGTTAGAGGTCAACAAGAGAAAGGACACTTCCTTCACATGTCCAAAGTTTTCTTGTGCCAAGTCAGGGGTCAAAAATCAAGAGGGAATGGAGGTAGATTGTATTTGCTTACAGACTAAATCTGTTTCTGGGTTAGTGGATAGATTGGAAGGGCTGAGAAGCATGTAAAAGACAACATTAAAAGGTTTTGTTGTCTCAAGTCACTGCATTAGTTTCAATAGTTGAACTATGCTGCTGACAAAGAAAACATATAGGATTACTGTATATGTTTGTGACTAGTAGTTTGGGCTGACGTTCATAAAGAAGTTACAGTGCCTTCAGAAAGTATTCACACCCCTGGACTTTTTGTTGTGTTACAGGCTGAATTTAAAATGAATTACATTTAGATTTTGTGTCCCTGGCCTACACACAATACCCCACAATGTCAAAGTGGAATTTGTTTTTAGAAATGTTTACAAACAACAAAAAACATTTAAAGGTGAAATGTATTGAGTCAATAAGTATTCAACCCCTTTGTTATGGCAAGCATAAATACATTCAGGAGTAAAGATTTGCTTAATAAGTCACATAATAAGTTGCATTGACTCCCTGTGCAATAATAGTGGTTAACATGATTTTTGACCGATTACCCCATCTCTGTACCCCACACATACAATTATCTGTAAGGTCCCTCAGTCGAGTAGTGAATTTCAAGCACAAATTCAAGCACAAAGATAAGGAAGGTTTTCCAATGCCTCGCAAAGAAGGGCACCTATTGGTTGATGGGTAAACATTTCAAAAAGCAGACACTGAATATCCCTTTGAGCATGGTGAAGTTATTAATTACACTTTGATTGGTGTATCAATACACTCAGTCGTCCTTCCTAACTCAGTTGCCGGAGAGGAAGAAAACCCCTCAGGGATTTCACCATGAGGCCTGTGGTGACTTTAAAACAGTTACAGAGTTTAATGGCTGTGATAGGAGAAAACTGAGGATGGATCAAACATCATTGTAGTTACTCCACAATACTAACATAAATGATCGAGTGAAAAGAAGGAAGCCTGTACAGAATAAAAATATTCCAAAACATGCATCCTGTTCGACAATAAGGCACTAAAGTAATACTGCAAAAAATGTGGCAAAGAAATAAACGTTTGTCCTGAATACAACAAAACACATCACTGAGTACCACATATTTTCAAGCATGGTCGTGGCTGCATCATGTTACGGGTATGCTTGTCATCGGCAAGGATTAGAGGTTAATTTTAGGACAAAAATAAACACAATAGAGCTAAGCACAGGCAAAATCCTAGAGAAAAACCTGGTTCAGTCTGCTTTCCAACAGACACTGGGAGACAAATTCACCTTTCAGTAGTACAATAACCTAAGATTCACGGCCAAATATTCACTGGAGTTGCTAACCAAGATGAAATTGAATGTTCCTGAGTGGCGTTGTTGCAGTTTTCACTTAAATCGGCTTGAAAATCTATGGCAAGACTTGAAAATGGCTGTCTAGCAATGATCAACAACCAACTTGACACAGCTCGAAGAGTTTAAAAAGAATAATGGGCAAATGTTGTACAATCCAGGTGTGACTTAGAGACTTACCCAAATGTGATTCTAACAGCTATTGACTCAGGGTGTTGAATACTTACTGTATCTAATCAAGATAACTGTTTTATTTGTCATTCATCTTAAAAATTGTTTTTGAATTATTCTTCCACTTTGACATTGGAGTCCACTTTAATCGCAATTAGTAACACAACAAAATGTGGAAAAAGTCAAGGGGTGTGAATACTTTCTGAAGGCACTGTAGTTGGGAAGGTGTCCTGTCTGATTGGCTGGTACAGGAGAAAGATGGTTGTGATTGGCTGGTACAGGAGAAAGATGGTTGTGATTGGCTGGTACAGGAGAAAGATGTCGGTCTGACCTACCTGGTGACAGAGTGGTTCTCGATAAGGTACCAGGTAGCTGAGAAGTTCTCGCTGGTGAACTCTCCACTCACACCTGAAAACATGGCCTCCAGATCTTTCAGAGGGACCTTACCCCTGAGGGAGAAAACACACATATAAAAGAGATTACTTTGGAAACCCTGTTAAATTTATATTTTATGTCTCCTATGTATGATCATGCTGTGGTCCCTGTATGGCTCAGTTGGTAGAGTATGGTGCTTACAATGCCAGGATTGTAGGGTTCAAATCCCGGGGCCACCCATATGTAAAATGGATGCATGTATGACTGTAAGTCACTTTCAGTTAAAAGTGTCTGCTAAAAGGCATGTATTATTATGTATTATGCTGCAAAAACCATTTCGCTCTTTGACAATAAAGTTGAAACTTGAACTTGAACAATCTACACCAACACTGAATTAGAGGGAATGCTTGCAACTGTACATAGTTACTCAAATAAGAAAGAATATTTACCAGTTACATTGTACAAAATAACAAGAATTTCATTCTATAATGTAATAAGTTGAAAGGTGAGTTGGGGGTGTTGGTATAAAGTCCTCCAGCAGGGTCAGTGTGAGGCCAGGCCGTGCCCAAGGAGGAAGGCCTGGGCATCGGAAGAGCAGTGTGTGATGCCTGGGCGCCCCTGGAGCCCCTGGAGGACCCAGAGCTTGTTAGGAAGGTTTGATCTGTGGTAATGACCCGTGGGCTACACAAACTAAACTCTAAACCAAACCCACCACCCACCCAGTCTCTACTGTCCTGTACTGGAGCACACTGAGCCCTGAGGGGATAAATACACACACACACATACGGATGCACGCAGGTGCGAACACACACACACACACACACACACACACACACACATATAGACATACACACACAAGCACACATGACACAGAGCAGAATGATCTCAGAGTCGATCAGTAAAGATGGGTTGTCATGGGAAAGAAGTGGGCGAAAGAGAGGGTGAAACTGCATCATCATGGAAGGTTAACATCAATTAACCTCTCAAACCACTTTCACCACACTTTCGTCTCACAGTACCGGTGCTCTTCTTGTAACGGTGTGGCTCAGTTGGTAAGAGTGTGGCGCTAGCAATGTACAGGCTGCGGACTGAATTACCACAAAGATCATCTACACACATACTAAAAATGTACTCACTGTACTGTTAGGCGCTTTACAAAGCGTCTGCTTTAAGTGGCATATTACATTTATACATATGTATCTCGAAAGAGAGCGAGAGAGAAACAGAGAGAGAGATAGAAAGAGAGTAAAAGAGAGAGAGAGAGAACTTTCTCAGCCTGTTCAGTTATCCATACCTGCCAAAGTATCAAAGCCTGCTTTAACATGTTTCGGCTCTGCTGCTTTGCTCTGCTCTACACAGACAGACAGGTTACTTTTTTGGTTACTACACGATTCCATGTGTTATTTCATAGTTTTGATGTCTTCACTATTATTCTACAATGTAGAAAATAGTAAAAATAAAGAAAAACTCTTGAATGAGTAGGTGTTCTAAAACTTTTGACCAGTAGTGTATAGACAAAAAACACACAGAAACATCACCGACATCACACCTGCCCAGACCCACATGATACCACCGCATCTATCTCCAGTGCTTGTAAGACTCTATGCCATATGGGCTCAAATTTAGCTATTCTGTTTTTCGCTGTCGCCCACACATTTTCAATATTGAAATTATAATGCATTTGATTCTTCCACTGTCTTAACGATGGAGGATCATTTGATTTCCAGTTTTTAAGTATTTTTTTTCTCAAAATGATTGACAAGAAAAGTATGGTCCAATCCATTTGGTATCTCACCGCACCCTCATATGCCAAGTCTTGAAATATGCAGATAGACAGATTAAAAGTACATCTACATTGTAAAACATCTGACAGCCAACTTTAAGTCCACCCATAACTTTTGGACTTCATAGCATTCCCAGAAGGCAAGAATTAGTGAGTCATTATTAATTTTACACTTAAGACATGACTCTGCTGTTGTACTGTAGAATTTGTGAATTTTTTATAAATATACATTTGTCTATACTGGATTAAGCGGACATTTCAGTTAACTGTAATTTCGTTAATTATGTTCCAGCACACCCTCCATCGTGTGACAATCTCAGTTATTTTTAAGTCTTGGTCCCAATAGTTTATATTTTGTCAGTTGGATTGTCAGTTGGATAGGCTCTCTGCAAGGTTTTTTTATGTCTTACCTATCATAGTTATATCCTTTTCTGACTCAAATAGGATTCCCTCAACATTGCTCTGATGTCCAAAATATTTCAAATCAAAATGTTGTGATTTAAAACGTTTAGTTTGCTTGCATTTAAAAATGTCTACATTGGTCAGTCCAACATGGCTTTTTAATTTTGTCATGGAAATAATTGTATTTCCTACTACCAAGTCATTTTCAGTTTCTATGCTTTTAGTTTTACATGTATGCCAATTTATCGGTGAATTCTGAAAATCTTTCCAAGGACTGTTCCATAGGGATGCGTTTCATTTTCTTCCATATTGTTATAGTGTTCTTAACTATGAAGTTGTTAATGTTCTTAGCTGTATCCTTTGAAAATAGACAGGGAATTTTTACTAGGATCAAATGTCAGGAATTGTGAAAAACTGAGTTTAAATGTATTTGGCTAAGGTGTATGTAAACTTCCGACTTCAACTGTATAACTAAAAATGTTGTCTGACTCCGTCCGCTCTACTTCTCCTGGTCAGCTATTTCTAGTTTGGACAGCTAGCCACCGTCTCTATAGTAAACGACATTGGCTACATTCATTAATGTGATGTGTGTGTGTGTACTGTGCAGTGTGCATGTGTGCGTGTGACCATTTTCGACTATGTGGTTATCAACATGAAGAGAAGACACCACGCTTTCTCAGTTAGAGTTAACTGACTGGGTAATAGTAGCCTACCAGTAGGCCCAGGAAAGTGACCCTGGACATGGAGGGTTTGCAGCCCAGTCAGGGGCTCTCCTCCCTGGCCACGAGCGGTCACTTGCCCCCTGGATCCCCTGGCCCCTCTAAACAGAACACACATCAGAGGGCCTAGAGCACAGACATACCAGAACTAAACTATACAAAGTAAACATTACATTACAGACTGTGCTTTCTCTGCCAGGCGCGTGGGAGGCAGAAGCCACACCATACGGCCTGCCTGCTATGGTCATGTGTAGTGGGTTGCACTCTTTCTTTTCAACTCTTTCCTCTCCTTTAAACACAATTATGGTGTTTCCAGTGCCTTTGTGCAGCGGTTAAAGCCAGTTGAGCCATTGCTGTGTTGGCATAACATTTCAAACAACTCCACATGGGGATTGTTTGTTTGTTAGACTTAATGACTTAAGCCTGTGTGTATATGTGTATGTATGTATGTATGTGTGTGTGTGTGTGTGTGTGTGTGTGTGTGTGTGTGTGTGTGTGTGTGTGTGTGTGTGTGTGTGTGTGCGTGTGTGTGTGTGTGCGCCCCTACTTGTCAATGTCGATGCCTAGTGGATTGCTGGGTCGTAGGGAGAGGGGGGAGATGCCTTTGTTGCGGTCGGTTCTCATGTCATAATAGTTCATCTCATCCACCCACACAGCAGACTGGTCCAGGATACCTACAGCACAGACACCCCGGAAACACATTATCACTGAGGGACAGCCCAGATCACACACACTCAATTATAGTACCTGACAGAGCTACTATACAGTTTGTAAAGCAACACAGGACAATATAGTATGAGTTTGTGGTGTGTTGCCATACTTTATTTCCCAGCTGCCTCAGGTTGGAAAAACTGAGGAAGATTGTCTGTTCTAGTGCAACGGAGTAGTTGTTCTAGAGTTAATCTGATGATTGACAAAGAGAGCGAGAGATGTGTTTGTAGATTTATATTAGAGCTGGCGTGGTCGCCGAGGGCAGCAGGAGTATCTTACCAATCTTCTCAGCCTTGAGCAGTTTGAAGGAGACGGTGGAGGTGCCGTTGCCTCCTGACTTGGTGGTGACGATGATCTCTCCCTTATCGTCTTTGGCTGGGCCCACACGACACACTATCTTACTGGCTGACATCCACTCAGCCGTCAGCAAGCAGTTGTGACCACATATGGACAGACCTGAGAGAGAGAGAGAGAGAGAGAGTGAGAGAGCGAGAGAGCGAGAGAGCGAGAGAGAGAGAGAGAGAGAGAGAGAGAGAGAGAGAGAGAGAGAGAGAGAGAGGTGAGGCTAATCAAATATATAGGCACGCTTACAGCAACAGGACAAACAAACAAGTAATAACATAGAGACACACTGAGAGAAACGGCATGACACATTGACCCCTAATGACAGGTTTATTAAACTGCTATTTGTGTCAAAGTTCAGGCCAGGTCCAGTCAGTCCTGTGGGTGGCCCTGACATGAGTCTCTCAAAGCGTCATCATTCTGTCCACACAGAGTGCTGTGACTTCACTGCTAAGTGGCTCAATAAATATATATTTACTGTACTTTTACACTCTTTCTCTCTTCCCTTCTCCTTGTCAGTCTGAACACTGGAATAAAGAGAGAGAGTTTAGAGAGGAGAGAGAGAGAGGCAGAGAGAGAGAGAGAGAGAGAGAGAGAGAGAGAGAGAGAGTAGAGAGAGCAAAACCCCTTCCTCTGATTTATCTGACTAGATGGAACTCGACAGCGTCAGACATGTGTAATCCAACATCATAAAAGCCTGTGAGAGATGATTAAAAAAGAATCCTTGAAACAAACTGTGAATAATAATACGGCTATTAAATTAAAGCACATTTCCTGCCTCTGTACTATACTGGTCATTTTGTTTGAATACATAAATATGCACAAAACACAATTTTTTTGCTATCTAACATATACAGTAATTAATTAAGTAAGCTAATTCTATGCTCTGGGGACATTAGTGGTCAGAAATAGATCCAAACGATTGGCCAGGACTCCGCCTGCCAAGTGCACAACAGTATGTGTGAGGCCATGTTTCCGGGCTTTTCTTTCGCGGGTGTTTTGATTTTAATTGTTGAAAATAACACACTGAAATTCTAGGCATATTCTAATTGGTGACATTTTGACAATATAAAAAAGTTGGACATGTATATTCAAATACAACTGTTTTATGTTTACATTATGTTCATAAAATGCAGAAACAAGAAATGGGGTAGTGGTGTTTCTTTTTGTTTCACTAGCGCTACTCTTTCGCAAAGTAAAAAATCATGGCCACAGATGTTTGGCTTTTTAAAAAATGTGTTCTGTTTTTAAAGTTCTGTTCAAAAAATAATTATGTGAAACAGATTATCAATTATAAAACATCTTGTACTTTTTGGCAATTCAATTCAGATCAAAAACATGACATGCAGTATTTAGATAAAATTATTAACATGATAAGTATTTTAGCCAACAATCTGTTCTACTTAATAACATGTATTATCTGCACTGCAGTTAAACAAATCGTGTTCACTGATATTCCTATTCACAGTCATTTCCTGTTATGGCTATAATATTCCAGACAAAAAAGGGCTTGGTAAATGTTGATGTTCTAGATAATAATTAAGCTATTGTCCAGTTATTAGAAGTTAACCTAACAATATTTAGGCGTACATATATCCTACCTTATTTCAATGTTAAAATACATAGATTTAAAAAGGGCAATCTGCAGTTGCTACATACATTTTTTGACTTGTAAATAAATGATATATACCCATTGATTCTTGAAGAATATAACCTATAAATGCCTCATGAGCTTAGTTCAACTGCCACACCCCGTCAGAACCCAACTGCAGACTGGCCTTTTTTAAATCTTATTAAATGCAGAGTGAAATTAAATTAACAAATACCAAACAAGGTTTGTTTCTGGATCAAAAAGGGGCTTAGGTGGTGGGCGTGGCATGGGGCGTGTCGGCACAGCTGAATTTCTTGAGAACATTTGAAAAGGTGGTGTAGATTTTAGATTTATTTTTTAAGCCAATTTCTTGCAATTCTATGCATTTTGCCATGGCTAATGCTGTGTTCTTATGCACAAGCATAACAAAATCATTACTGCTATTGGAATTTTCAATTCTCCCTAGCTTTTACTTTGGTGATTGTTAGTTCTCAAAGATTATTTAAAAAATATAGGTCTATTACGTTTTCTACATACTTTATATCTGATTTTAGTTGTTTAAGTTTACAATGAAAAAGTTTTTCCATCCTGAAAATGTATTTAAAACAATATTATTTCTTTTTTTACACACTTAGGTGGCCCGCCCAATGATTACAATGACAGAAAAATCTCTGCTAAAGGCATGCAATTCAATATTATTCAGATATCTAATAATTTTCTTTAGCATATAAAATCACATATTTTAAATGTAGTTAAATTATGTTCTAAAATAATGTTATAGTATTACATTTTTCACTTAACCAATGTTGTTTAAAACTCATTATCTTGGATGTATTCAATTCATTCGGTTAAACGAAACAAAAAGTTATTTAATCTAATCTAGATTCATAAAAAGGTGTTTTCCAACCATTTATTTGATAAACAGCAACAAACACTCTGTGTAATGTAAGCAGAGCCGGACCACCGCTAACTGGTCCAGTGAGTTCTGTGGTAGACTGTAGGCTAGCAAGGCTCTAGCCAAGCCTGGGTCATAACGGCATGAACTCTACTGCACACAGACTTACTTACACATTCTCTATCATACACTCTGTCTAACACACTCTCTCACACACACAAACAAATATTGTCAGTGCCAGTGAAAACATTCACATACCAAACAGAATAATTGTATGCATCAAAAACAACTGGAGCAATGAATTCACACACTGGCAAAATTTGAGATTACCATTACAGAAAAGTGGGAGACTTGACATTATAGGAAGTGATTTGACTGTTGGAAGTCGAATGCAAATAACAGTGTGTGTGTGTGTGTGTGAGAGTGTGTGTGTGTGTGTGTGTGTGTGTGTGTGTGTGTGTGTGTTAGTACTGTGACGGTCATGGAATTTCAGGTGTCGTGGTTGGCGTGTCATATGTCCGCAGTTATCGACATAACCGACAGCGGGGGGCACAACATTAACGGATATAGGCCTAACTGTCTTGCTCTTGCTGTTGAATAATTAATTAATTGTCAGACACACAGACACCCAACCCTTTTTTTAGAAGATACATTTATTTAACATAAAGCAATAAAAACCTGCATTGTATTATAGAATGTGTACACAAACTATATTTTTGTCTACTAAAGTGCCATAGGCTAGCACTTCTACAATAAATTACCACTAACAGCAGCGACATAAATAGGTAAGAGCAAATATTAACAGTATAATTAAATAAATATAGAATAAAAAAATGGTGCTATTTTACAGCAAACAGCGACACCTGGTAAAATACAAACTACACATTATCTTCTACCTCCAGCTCCAGGTTCCGTGCATGGAACACGAGCATATTGACTTTGTCCGGCTTGAGGCACAAGCGGAACATTCGCTCTGATGCGGTGCTCCTGGCGCAAATACACATGCATCTGCGTGCCAGCTTCGACATCAATGGATAGAGAGTCTGGTTGTCTCACCACCAGGTCAGGGGATTATCTGTTGGGTCAGGCTGTTCCTGCAGGTAGTGAGTCAGTTCGGTGTCTGCACGGACTCTGAGGGGTACAAGGGCAGTGTTTTGGGCCCTTCGCTTCTGGAGGAGATCCCCTAAATTCCTTTTCTTGGCAGACGGTGGCGCACTCGCACCATCGTTCGAGTCATCATCTCTCTCAGTTGCAATAGCAGCAGTAGCACCACCAGCCTGCTTCCACAATCTCTTTCAGGAGTGCTTCTTTCATCTCGTTCAAATCATCCCCTTTGCCTCTGTATCTTGGGTCGAGGAGGGAAGACTTGGACAAAAGTTATTTTTATTTCCGGTAGGCTGTACTTTTCCTCGAGACATCTTCTGGACATCTTCCTTTTGAGGCTTTGTGTTAGGTCGGTGTCGTTGAAGAGGTCGGCTTGTGCAGATCTCCCGTCAGTAACTGGAACACGAGACAGGACGTAACTCTCACCCGAGAGAACATCAGTGAAGTTAGCAACAGGTTTCAGTGCTGCTTGGACTGATGACAAGATGTCTTTGTCCTGCCATTTGAGGATGAGGTGATTATGTTTACGATACGAGACCAGGACTCGTTCAATGGCTGTTGCTTGCTCCAAAACCCTATCTACCATTTTCGGTTTGGTTCCCCACCTAGTTAAACAATGCTTTGGAATAAAACATTTGATTGGCAGGATAAACAAACAAAGAGGCAAATGTTGTTATTAAAATACAATGGGCCTACGGTAATCCAACATTGAATGATTTAATGTTGCATTACTATAGGCCAATTGTATTTTCACAATGAAATTAGCCTTTTCTTGTTTGTTTTTTTGCTAGTGCATTTGAATAACATAATTCTATGTGAACAATAATTTAACATAGCATAGCTCAGGGATGGGCAACTTTTCTGGGGTGGGGGCCACAAAAAATCTGAAATGCTTGCGTGTCTGCATACCACATTTTTATCAGCCCCCCTCTTGACAGCGCAGAGACATTCTTTACATTTTAGAGTTAATAGAGAAAATGTAGCAGTTTTAAAGCAGGTTTGCTGCAATTCTAAACATTTTGCCATGGGGAGGAGAAAACGTTTAGCAGTTTTAAAGCAAGTGTGCTGTAATTCTACACATTTTGCCATGGGGGCAGTGGGAAGATTTTGCAATTTTATAACTACTTTCATGCAATTCTACTCATTTTGCCATGCGGCAGAGAGGAAAATGTGCTGTTTGCAGATTTTAATATGATATATGAGTGAGACTGACTAACAATATCAATGGGGGCCCCAGGGCAGTAATTCGACCATTATTACTTAATTTAGATAGCTGGCTGCTAGACTAACTTACCAATCAAAACATAACAAGAGAAAAACTGCTGATGCATGACCAAATTTCTAAATTGCACCTTTTGTATTCTACTATTCTAACTTGCAACAGTAAGTTGAGACCCAGACTGAGTAAAAAACAATTAAGTAACTCAAATATATAAATATATATGCTACCAGTCAAAAGTTTGACTGGTAGCGTATACTACTCATTCAAGGGTTTTTCTTTATTTTTACAATTTTTTTACATTGTAGAATAATAGTGAAGACATCAAAACTATGAAATAACACATATGGAATCATGTAGTAACCAAAAAAATATATTTGACATTTGATGACAGCTTTGCACACTCTTGACATTCTCTCAACCAGCTTCACCTGGAATGCTTTTCAACAGTCTTGAAGGGGTTTCCCTTTTTGGTTACTACATGATTCCATATGTGTTATTTCATAGTTTTGATGTCTTCACTATTATTCTACAATGTAGAAAATAGTAAAAATAAAGAAAAACCCTTGAATGAGTAGTATACGCTACCAGTCAAACCTTGAATGAATAGGTGTGTCCAAACTTTTGACTGGTACTGTATATATGTATTTTTTGTGATCCTAGGGGCTTCAAAAGGGGGACCCGCCAGTTGCCCATCCCTGGCATAGCTTAGTCTTTAAACATTGAATAGGCTATATCAAACTTAATTTCTCACCACAATGAGGCTGTTATTTGGGAGGTTCAGCTCCGTCTAAGCCTTCAGTAGGGCCCTCTTTTTTTGCCAGCTCTATGAAAAAGTGCCCACCAGAGTTCTACATAGGCCTAGAGCCCAGCCTGTGCGTGTGATTTTTGCTGTTCATGCCGTTGGTGACGATGAGATGGCGATTGTGGCCAAAGCAAATTAGCCAAGGCCAGTTTAGTTGCCTCACGGAAGCCACAATGTTGGCCCCTGTTGTCTGTGGTGATATAGGACCATTTATTTTCGTCAAGGGCCCAGTCTAGCCATCCCGAATGCAGGGCTTTGGCCAGGTTGTCGGCTGTGTGGGATTCCGGCATGTAGGTTGTTTCCAAACAACTGGATTTCAGACTCATATTTACACTTGACCGATGTTCCCTCTAAGCTGAGCGCAGTAGCCCGAGACCTGCCACGCAGGTTCCCTGTTAGTTAACACTATCAACGTTTCCCTTTACTGTGTGTGGCAATTGTGATTGAATCAACGCAATATTAGCCACTTTCAATGCAACATACCGAAACAAAACAAACTATGCAAGATTTTGTTGTAGAACGCATCAGAGTAGGATTCTATTGCACGTACTCTACACAGACCGGTGTGGCATAACCAATCAGAGCTGCGGTAGGCCTATATTCAAATAGACCATACCCATACAGTGAGGGAAAAAAGTATTTGATCCCCTGCTGATGTTGTACGTTTGCCCACTGACAAAGATATGATCAGTCTATAATTTTAATGGTAGGTTTATTTGAACAATGAGAGACATAATTAAATAAAAAAAATCCAGAAAAACGCATGTCAAAAATGTTATAAATTGATTTGCATTTTAATGAGGGAAATAAGTATTTGACCCCTCTGCAAAACATGACTTAGTACTTGGTGGGAAAACCCTTGTTGGCAATCACAGAGGTCAGATGTTTCTTGTAGTTGGCCACCAGGTTTGCACACATCTCAGGAGGGATTTTGTCCCACTCCTCTTTGCAGATCTTCTCCAAGTCATTAAAGGTTTCGAGCCTGACGTTTGGCAACTCGAACCTTCAGCTCCCTCCACAGATTTTCTATGGGATTAAGGTCTGGAGACTGGCTAGGCCACTCCATGACCTTAATGTGCTTCTTCTTGAGCCACTCCTTTGTTGCCTTGGCCGTGTGTTTTGGGTCATTGTAATGCTGGAATACCCATCCACGACCCATTTTCAATGCCCTGGCTGAGGGAAGGAGGTTCTCACCCAATATTTGACGGTACATGGCCCTGTCCATCGTCCCTTTGATGCGGTGAAGTTGTCCTGTCCCCTTAGCAGAAAAACACCCCCAAAGCATAATGTTTCCACCTCCATGTTTGACGGTGGGGATGGTGTTCTTGGGGTCATAGGCAGCATTCCTCCTCCTCCAAACACGGTGAGTTGAGTTGATGCCAAAGAGCTCGATTTTGGTCTCATCTGACCACAACACTTTCACCCAGTTCTCCTCTGAATCATTCAGATGTTCATTGGCAAACTTCAGACGGGCCTGTATATGTGCTTTCTTGAGCAGGGGGACCTTGCGGGCGCTGCAGGATTTTTGGCCTTCACGGCGTAATGTGTTACCAATTGTTTTCTTGGTGACTATGGTCCCAGCTGCCTTGAGATAATTGACAAGATCCTCCCGTGTAGTTCTGGGCTGATTCCTCACCGTTCTCATGATCATTGCAAGTCCACAAGGTGAGATCTTGCATGGAGCCCCAGGCCGAGGGAGATTGACAGTTATTTTGTGTTTCTTCCATTTGCGAATAATCGCACCAACTGTTGTCACCTTCTCACCAAGCTGCTTGGTGATGGTCTTGTAACCCATTCCAGCCTTGTGTAGGTCTACAATCTTGTTCCTGACATCCTTGGAGAGCTCTTTGGTCTTGGCCATGGTGGAGAGTTTGGAATCTGATTGATTGATTGCTTCTGTGGACAGGTGTCTTTTATACAGGTAACAAGCTGAGATTAGGAGCACACTCTTTAAGGGAGTGCTCCTAATCTCAGCTTGTTACCTGTATAAAAGACACCTGGGAGCCAGAAATCTTTCTGATTGAGAGGGGGTCCAATACTTATTTCCCTCATTAAAATGCAAATCAATTTATAACATTTTTGACATGCGTTTTTCATGATTTTTTTGTTGTTATTCTGTCTCTCACTGTTCAAATAAACCTACCATTAAAATTATAGACCGATCATTTCTTTGTCAGTGGGCAAACGTACAAAATCAGCAGGGGATCAAATACTTTTTTCCCTCACTGTATGTATGTGTGTGTGCAAGTCCTTGCTTTCATGTATACATGTGTGTGTCGTACCAACGAGGTCAGCGGTACCCGTGCCCAGGTTCTCTCCTCGGATGGTGACCTTGGTCCATGAGGTGCCCTCATTGGGCGAGATGCCCGTGACCAGGGGGGGCTGGCGGGCACGAGACATGGTAGGTCACTGATTGTCACGCGTGTGCAGGAACACAGGAAGAATCAGTCAGCAACCTGTGAACATGCCGAGGGGCAGTGGGAGGAGGGGACACACAATATGGTTATTAACACAGAGACCAGGAGAGAGAGACACAGTTGTAATGTACAGTTATAATGCATTATTACTTTTTTTTTAAACATATATGCCTTTATAATGTCTTATTATAAGAGATTTAATACATCTAAAAAGGTTTCTAGGAGTTTAAGAGAGAAGGCTACAATTTCTACACACAGGAGGACATGAAGGTGCTGGGACTAGACAGAGAGAGAGAGAAAAAGGGGGAGGAAATGAACAATGTAAAACTCGGAGAGAAGGATAAATAAACCTGCTCTCCTTCATCGATTCCACATAACCTACTTAATGTGTGTATGAGACTGTATAGCTTGCCCTAGCCTAATACCTAGAGGAGGTATGTGTAATGTGTATGTAATGATGAGGGAGAACATACACAGTAAAACACCAATCACCTGTGTAGATGATATGCCAGTGTGGAAGAGAAATGACACAGGCCAGATACAATTCTGAATGAAATGTGCAACTGTTAGTCTAAGCCTATCAAAAGGAGGAAAATAGGCTAGATGTGTTATGAATGGATGTGAGGAGATCTAAAAAGCCAGTACGAGGGGGCTTTACATTTTTTGCTAACACAGATGTGTGGTAATAAATTGCTGCCAGGTCTGGTTGAACAACCTAACAGCTTTGCAAACACTAAATCCAAAACACGTTCCCCACAAACAAGGCAGGAGTTCACACGGAACAGAGCAGACAAGCAACCAGGGAACCATGGGTGACGCAGCAGTTTTGTGGCAACATCATCATCTCAGAGCGTACGTGTACACTTGTTGAACAAATCTTTATACACTGAACAAGTTTAGTTAAGAGCTTGTTGCGTAAAGAGATGGGGGTCTGATAACTCAAATAAAAAATATTTGTCACATGCTTCGTAAAAAACAGGTGTAGACAAACAGAGTTAAAGATAAAAAACTAAATAAAAAATAGAAATAGTGACACAAGGAATAAATACACAGTGAATACGAATAACAATAACGAGTAAAAATACACATGGCTATATACAGGAAGTACCAGTACCGAGTCGATGTGCAGGGGTACGAGGTCATTGAGGTAGCTACAGTGCCTTCAGAAAGCTCATGTAGTGGATCAAATATCTGTGTCCTTATGTTAAAGCTAATTTGGGTACAAATAATAGCATAAATCTAAGTATCCAATCCTTCTGAGCATTTCATTGATTATTGACCGATGAGGTCAAGGTTGAGGTTAGGGAGTGAACTAAGACAGATACTCTAAACCCCTCTGACAAGCAGTGTCCCTCTGAGACGTATACAGTGCCTTCAGAAAGTATTCATACCCCTTAACTTATTCCACATTTTGCTGTGTTGCAGCCTGAATTCTTTTCTCACCCATCTACACACGATACCCCATAATGCAGCGTTTCCTAAACTCGGTCCTCGGGACTCCAAGGGGCACATTTTAGTTTTTGCCCTAACACTACACAGCTGATTCAAATCATCAAAGTTTGATGATTAGATTATTATTTGAATCATCTGTGTAGTGCTAGGGCAAAAAACAAAATGTGCACCCCTTGGGGTCCAGACGACCGAGTTTGGGAAACCCTGCCATAACGACAAAGTGAAAACATGTTTTTAGAAATGTTTGCTAATTTCTTGAAAATGAAATACAGAAATATCTAATTTACTGTACATAAGTATTCACACCCCTGAGTCAATACATGTTAGAATCACCTTTGGTAGCTGTGAGTCTTTCTGGTTAAGTCTCTAAGAGCTTTGCACACCTGGATTGTACAATATTTGCACATTCTTAAAAACATTATTCAAGCTCTGTCAACCCACTCAACTAAGGCCCCATCGATGTAGTCCACAATCTTCTCCTTTGTCTTGCTGACGTTGAGGTAGATGTTGTTGCCCTGGTCCACACTGCCAGGTCTCTGACCTCCTCTCTATAGCCTGCCTCATCGTAGTCTGTGATCAGTCCTACCACCGTCGTGTCGTCAGCAAACTTGATGATGGTGTTGGTGTCGTGCGCGGCCACGCAGTTGTGGGTGAATAGGGAGTACAGGAGGGTACTAAGCACACACCCCTGGCTCAAAGGGGATGTAACTCATGTAGTCTAACCTCCGCTGTCTTGTGCTTGTCAGAGGAAATCTAGGGGCAGGGGCATCTGACATGGAGAAGATAAGAGTTTAACAGGCCTTAAACAAGCCCCTCATCTGTCGTTAATCAAGCCTATATGTTTTGGGTGGGAGTTGGAGTGGAGGGGGAATATAAGGGGGAGTCTGTCTTCTTCTGCACAAAATGACTACGACTGTTGTGTTACCTCAACAGGAGTGTTTTTATCCCCGTCTTGGGAATACACGTGTACACACACACACACACACACACACACACACACACACACACACACACACACACACACACACACACACACACACACACACACACACACACACACACACACACACACACACACACACACACACCCACCCACAGAGGCTGGGCAGAATGACAGCTCTGCTCGGTTGCGTGCGAGGGGCCGAGCTGGCGCTGTGTGGTCTGTGTGTATGTGAGAGAGCATGTGGAGGGATCTGTGCTGTGGAGCGGTCTGGGCAGTGTGTGTGTGTGTGTGTATGTGGTCTGGGTGTGTGGTCTCTGGCTCAGCCTGGGGAGAGCCTGCTGACGGCTGGGATGAGAAAAGAGCTGCTGTGTTTACTTTACTCTGGGGCCATGCATGGACATGGGAACACAGCCCAAACCCCTCCGCTCTGTAACACACACACACACACACACACACACACACACACACACACACAGAGAGAGCAAGGAGTCACAAACTAGTGGAACAACCCTGTCAGCGACAAGTGAGGCGTAGATGTACAATTTTGAATCAACATTTTATGTAGGCTATTATATTGACCCAGCTCATATATGACAGGAGAAATAAAACGAAGCTGTATCAGAAATCACTCAAAAATCATGGGCATTAATATGGAGTTGGTCCCCCCTTTGCTGCTATAACAGCCTCCACTCTTCTGGGAAGGCTTTCCATTAGATGTTGGAACATTGCTGCGGGGACTTGCTTCCATTCAGTCACAAGAGCATTAGTGAGGTCGGGCACTGATGTTGGGCGATTAGGCCTGGCTCGCAGTCTGCATTCCAATTTATCCCAAAGGTGTTCAATGGGGTTGAGGTCAGGGCTCTGTGCAGGCCAGTCAAGTTCTTCCACACCGATCTCGACAAACCATTTCGTATTGGCCTCGCTTTGTGCTCGGGGGCATTGTCATTCTGAAACAGGAAAGGGCCTTCCCCAAACTGTTGCCACAAAGTTGGAAGTACAGAATCGTCTAGAATGTCATTGTATGCTGTAGCGTTAAGATTTCCCTTCACTGGAACTAAGGGGTCTAGTACGAACCATGAAAAACAGCCCCAGTTTCCACTTCTCCAGAGTCCAATGGCGGCGAGCTTTACACCACTCCAGCCGACGCTTGGCATTGCGCATGTTGATCTTAGGCTTGTGTGCGGCTGCTCGGCCATGGAAACCCATTTCCTGAAGCTCCAGACGAACAGTTAGTGTGCTGACGTTGCTTCCAGAGACAGTTTGGAACTTGGTAGTGAGTGTTGCTACCGAGGACAGAGGTTTTTTACGTGCAACACGCTTCAGCATTCGGCGGTCCCATTCTGTGAGCTTGTGTGGCCTACCATTTCGCGGCTGAGACGTTATTCCTCCTAGACGTTTCCACTTCACAATAACAGCACTTATAGTTGACCGGAGCAGCTCTAGCAGGGCAGAAATTTGACGAACTGACTTGCTGGAAAGGTGACATCCTATGACCGTGCCACGTTGAAAGTCACTGAGCTCTTCAGTAAGGCCATTCTACTGCCAATGTTTATCTATGGAAATTGCATGGCTGTGTGCTCGATTTGATACACCTGTCAGCAACCGGTGTGGCTGAAATAGCCAAATCCACTAATTTGAAGGGGTGTCCACATACTTTTGTATATATAGTGTATTTCCATGACTGGACTGGAGAAGGTTTTACATCAGCGCGTTTGTTTATTTGTTTGACAAAAATGCTCTAGGGGGCATTATAGGACCCTCTTTTGACTCGTGGCATTAGCCTACAATGAGAATCACCTCAAAACCCAAGGTAGGCTTCACAAGTACACAGCACAGTTATAACAGTTCACTTAAAGTAAATATATAAATATAAATGGCACTGTCTATCATTCTCTCTGTCAGTTTCTTCTGATCATTCTTATTGTTAAATCCTGTGTTGTTTATCAAACATCTTCCTACTCATTGGCCACATTACTGATGCTGAAGCATTCTCTCCCTCCCTCCCTCCCTTCCTGCTTATGTTCTAATTGGGCTAAAATGGCAGGTTTGTTTTACTTGGAGAGGAACTTATAAACAGAGTGACTGCCCCTCCTCTATTTGGTAGCTCTGTCACACCAGAGCCTAGGACTGAGCAACAGGAACAGAGCTAACAAGCTCATGGAGAAAGGAACTCTCTGGCTAGGGAAGACTGTAGCCTTGCGTCCCAAATGGCACCCTATTCCTAATATAGTGCAATACTTTTGATCAGAGCCCTATAGTAGTGCACTAGCCTATAGGGAGTTGGGTGCCATTTGATGCACAGCTGTAGAATGGGCTGAATATAAGGAATGGCTTTTCATAGGAAGTATACTGTATATTTATACTATAATAGATCTAAAAAAAAACATATAAGCCTAGGCCCTAGGACATTTCCTACAGCACACTTTAAACAATATATACCCCACACTCACACATGATGCCAGGAAACTTTTCTGTTTCAGAAAGAGACATATGGAAGCTACCCAGATAGCGCATAACGTTCTGAGAACCATATGTTTCTTTATCAGAATTTTAGTACTTCAGCATAATGTTCCCTACAGGTTTCCTCA